GGTCCGAGTTGGTCGTGGGTCCGAGTTAGTATTGGGGCCGAGTTGACATGGGTCCGAGTTGGTCGTGGGTCCGAGTTGGCATGGGTCCGAGTTGGTTTGGGTCCGAGTTGACTCGAAACCGACTGTAGTAGGCCTAGTCAGTTTTTCAATCATGCCATGGGATGGCCGTGTGGAAGCTTATGAGGCACAGATCAAATATAGGGATCTTGAGTGGAGACTGAACCTGACTCGGAGATGGTTGAGGCATGGTAGAGGGAACTTATGACTACATGATTGTACAAATCCTTCAATTTTGGCTCTGGGCCTACTCACTGACATGACTAACAGAAGTGATTTGCATATTTGTCAATCAATAGATCTGTGCTTGCCTGCTGCTTTGCCTGTTCCAAGACAACTTCCTGGGTCTCTTGAACGTCAGGCTAGCAGGATTTTTTTGTAGCACTCCGAAGGTGATCACTATGAAGCACCTTGTAATTTTGTTGACTCTGTTTGCCTGCATTGGTAAGTCAAACCATGATGGAGGAATAAAACCCCTCCCTGGTCAAACTGAAGTGGACGGGAATGTTGAAAATGTTCGCTGTCCATGGTATAGTATGATCCTGGGACACTTAATTTGGTTTCCAATTCAATGATGATTTGTCAAAATATCCACCTTTAGCCACAAAAGGCCGAATTGCGGCTTTATTTACAACATCAAAACGTTGAGAACGATAACGCTTAAAGTGACCTTTTATCATTAAAATGAATGAAAAACCTTCATAATAAAAAGTGTATGTATACACAAAAAGGGACTAACAAAGGGGTTGAATGAAAAGAGAGAATGAAGTGGAATTAAAACGAAGGCAAAAAGGAACTAACATTAAAATGTGACCCCCCAAAAAATCAAATTATTAAACATTTAAATGGAGGATGTCAGGGGAAAAAATGTTACTCCAAAAATGAGCCAACAAAGATGGCAATTAAGTTAACTTGGAAGCAAAGATTGACCTGGAGAAAAAGAAGAAAACCAAACCCTCTGAGATTGGTCTGAAAACTTTGAACCATTTCCTGATGAAAATGCTTTCCTGCTTATTTGACTTTTTAGGGACATGATGGCCAATATGCCATTGCAAGGAAAACTATTGTCAGTTTGTAGCATTGTTTGTGATAACTTTGATAACACCACGGAATATCAGTCGAGCTACTCAAAACGAAGTGACAGTGAAAAACTGTAGCAGTAAAACCTACATGTACACCTATCAGTGTTGTAGCCGAGACCATCACAAGACCAGACACAAGACCAGACACAATACCATGCACAAGACCAGCCATAAGCAACAGTGTGAACAATGACAAAGGAATTCTTTTGTTGCAGTTCATTTGAATAGCTTGTGACTGGAATTCAGACTGGAGGTCTTGTGTTGGTCTTGTGAAGGTCTTAATTGGTCTCGACTACAACACTGCCACCTATCAATTTATTTCCTTCTTGATTATGTAGGAACAATCCAGGCCCTAAAATGTTACGCTTGCAACTACACCAATGCTGTTCCCACTTACAATAGCTTCTGCGATGTGAACTTTAATAAGAACGGGTTCGGTGCTGCGGCATCCATCGTGGAGTGTGATGGCGTGTGTGTCGTAAGTAATCTGGCAGCGTTGGGGAGTAACTTTGGACCTGTAGCCAAAGAAATTGCACCACCAAATTAGACCCGAGGGTTTTCATGGTGAAAGAACAATATGAATAAGGGGATTGCGGTTACACCATAGATCTATCTCTTTCTTGAGTGCATGTATGTGTGGTTCTGAGAAGAACCGGGGAATAACTCTAGAACCACACATATCCAACAAAGACATTGATCCACNGGTGTAACTGCAATCATTTTACTCAAATTAGACCTGTTTTTTCATGCATTGTTCAGCCAACAAGTTTCTTAATGAACTTCCACTGTGGCAAAATGAGTTTAAAATCATATTTCCCAAATTTTCTCTGTTGAAGAACTTTTTATAACAACAAAAGTACCCCCACAGGATTTTTATCTAAATGAATTTGTTTGGAGAGCATTGTAATCAGTGTGAACTGGTTCATTTCTTTGCAATGCATGTGTTGGGGTTCCTTCCAGGGATTCAAAGAAAGTTGAAGTTCAAAGTTCCCCCCCTGAAAAATATGGAACCATGACCCACACAGCCGATGGACTGGTAAACACCACGCCGGGTCACTGCCTTCCCACTGACTGGGGAACAAGAATGCTGCCACTTTGGACCTTGCTGTCTTCCATTCTTTGCTTGGCAGCACACTGAGCAATAAACACAATTTTGCACAGTTCCACCCGAGGTTTAATCTGGAATAGCAACATTTGCCTGTCTCTTTCCAGCCAAGGTGAAAAACTGCTTGTTCTCTCTCTCTGAGAAAAGTTTTGCAATTGACATCCCTTAATTGCTGTTATCTCCAGCCCTGTTTCCACTGCACACAGTCTTTTGGGAAGGAAACGTGAAGACTTGTTCCCCGGCGTCAAAGATTTGTGCAAACAATAGGTGTTTGTATATTTCAAAGGAGCAAAAACTGCCTGACCAAATTTGTTTTTGCCAGTCTGCAGAATAGGTGGACAGGAAACCAGATGGGACACTGGTTCCAT